ATATAAAAAACGAATTCAACTATATATCGGAATGCCATTGTCCCTGTTTTTCCGTTGAAAAATGCTATTAAAGTTTTAATTAGTTTAGCGTTAATTAGTTTAGCGCTCAGTAAAAATCAGGACTATTGCTCCATAAAAATCAGGACAGTTGTAGCCTTATTTATATAATATAACCTTTTTGGTGTTGTTCGCTTTTACTGGTTTTAGAATTTTGTAAAGTGCGAAACTTAAGATATTAAGTGCTTTTTAATAACAGCAAACGCCAGAGAAGGAAAGCCAAGTACAGCATACCAATATCCTAAACAAAAAGACCATTTTAAACTATAAAAGCATTATTTTACATATTTATTGTGTCTTAGAATAAGTTAATTTGTTAATAAAGAGGAGCGTTGTTTTACATTTTTTAACTGTGTTCATGAATTAGTGACTCGTAAAACATTTCTTAAATATGGTCATTATCAATTATGGCATCAAAAAAAACATGAGAGCTTTGTAATAACAGAGTGTTTCAATAATGCCCTTCTTTATCAATAAAACTTCGTTAAACAGAGACTGTTTTAAAAACACTGCGTTAAAAATGTTAAAATAAATTATTATAATATAATTTATATATAATATAATAAATATTTATAATATAATAGTATTATATTCATAACTTAAGTTATTGTTTTTAATGACAATGACAAAAAGTCTGCATAAAATAGCTATAGCACAATTTTTAATGTTCCCAATAAACAAAACTATTTTTACCTCAATAGTTTAGAATTCCAAGATCTTTATAACTGTGAATATATTCACCGTTATGAATTATAATAATTAACACAGTAAATTTCATATCATATATATTTACTAAATTAAAACCGTATTTCAACAGTAAGCAAGCTAATTAACCAATGACCACTAAAAAGAAAAAATAGAATTTAGTTATGTTTGAACTTCAAAAAAAAAAGTTATTAAATTATTTTATCTTAAGATAATTATAATCAGTTGTTATATGAAAATTTAATAAAAATTAATTCGTAAAAAATGTAGTGACTAATATTAGAACTAAAATATATTTAAAAAACTTGATAATAGTCTAATTAACTATAGTCATAAAAACTAAGTTATTATAATAATCTTATCAGTCTCAATATCGTCGAATATTTGAAAGTAATGAGAAAGTTGATTATAATAAAAAGATATACGTAAGATTGGATTCAATTAAAATATAAATATTCGAACTTATCTGTTGGATCCAAGAAATTATAATATTTTACTTTGAAAAAAAAAAGATATGTAGCTCAACAAATTCTAGTATTTATATTTTGATACTGATTATAGTAAGATTTATACTTAGTCAGTTTCAAGTGTCCTGAGTAAAAAATAGTTAACAGAATTTAAGACCACCCGGCATTATATAGTGCCTAGTAATACAACAACCTAGATCTCATCATAATAATTTTGCTTTACACAATCATCATAATAATATTGCTTTACACACTGCTAAGTAACACTGCTTCTAAAAATTAAAAAATAGAAAAGAAAAGAAAGAATATAAACATATAAAAATTTTGAACATATTATATGTTATAAACTATGAACGTGATTTCTAACCAATGTTGCACATTAAGGGTTGCGCACCAATTATGCCGTCTCATGAAGGATAAAAACAACAAACCGTAGGATCTAAGTTAGCTGCTATCTTTTCCAACGAATACAACTGCAACTCCATTAACTATAGTTTGCAAAGAAAACATTAAATTATGTAAGCAAAGTTGATTGCTATGTTATTGTTTTCTAAAATTTACTGCTGCAAGTAGCTCAGAGAAATACAGTTGAAAATGTTGGGGGATTATTTTGATCTGGCCTAAGATTACACAATAGAAAACCTTGACCTAATGTTTTAAAGCCTGGCAGCCTATTATACATAGGTTAAACCACATTATCAGTAAACAAAATAGAAAGAGGCATTATAAATTTTATTATATTTAAAAAAAAGTAGAACTTCCTGTATATCTTGTAAAGCTTGTAAAAATAATGAAAATAACCAAAACCATTATGGCAACATAAAAAAAATCATGATAAATCCTAACCATGATATTCTAATTTAAGTATTAACTAGTTTCTTCCTGCCACGCAGCATTTCTTGCATTTTGACAACAATTCGTTTAGCTTGCCTAGTTCTAATCATTTCACTAAAGTATCAATTATTTTTAAGTTAGTAGTATTTTTCTAATAACTTATATAAGCCTAATATTATTCATTTCAATTTCATTATTATAAATAAACATATTAACATTAGAATTACTACTGTGGTAATAAGCTTACGCAAAAGAATCATAAGTATTCTTACTATTATTTTGAGCAAAGATAAGAATAAAAAAAACAACTTTGATAAATTGCCATTATTAAAATAAAATAAAAATTAAATTAAATGGAAAGATCAAATTTTTGTTTAAAGTTGTAAAAACATACCTAAAAAGAGATAAACAACAATTTTCAAGTAAATATCAAAAAACTTAAAATTCTAATTACAAAGATATTTGGTAATAAAGCAAAAGCAGATTGTTAAACTCTAATGTATAAAATAATTGTTTTTTATTAAAATAATAAAAAACTTGCTTAAACAATCACTTTTTTAAAGTTTTTTCATTACCTGAAACTCACTCCAAAGCTCCTGATTTTCCTCGAAGAACCGAAATAGTTTGCTCACCGGTTTCTAGCTCCTTGTTCAATTGTTGCAATATTGAAAAACTTTCATCTGCTCTTGACTCTTCAAAGGCACTGGTAATGATGGAATCCATCCTAGAGTGCTAAAAATGTGCTCTAAAGACTTTAGTGTGCCTCTCTCTCTCTCCTGTTTATCAAATCGTTTGATTCTAGACAAGTACCGTCTGGTTGGAAACTGGCTAATATAACGCCAATATTTAAAAAGGGTCAGCGTACTGATCCTGGAATTTACAGGCCTATTTCCCTTACCTCAGCAATTGGAAAAGTAATAGAGAAAATAATGCGTGATGTCATGACTGAACACCTAGTTAAGCATAATCTATTAACTTGCCATCAACACGGTTTTGTCAAATCTAGATCGTGTGTCACAAATCTTCTTGAAGTAATGGATATTAATACCAAAGCTTTAAGTGACAACTGTGCTGCATTGCTCATTTTGTTAGACTTTGCCAAAGCTTTTGATCGTGTATCACATCTTCTGCTTTATCACAAACTGGCTGGCTATGGTTTTGCCAATAATATTCTTGCCTGGCTCAAAGACTTTCTTGAAATTAGGAAACAGCGGGTTGTTCTAGGAAATTTCTCTTCCGAATGGAAGGATGTCCATAGTGGTGTACCTCAAGGATCAGTCATAGGTCCTCTTCTTTTTTTGATCTTTATTAACGACATGCCAGAATTAGTCAAAAATAATTGCAAACTCTTTGCTGATGATAGCCAGTTGGTTGCCAAAACAAAAACAGTTACGGACTTGGCTTTAGTTCAAAATGATATTGATATGATATGTAATTGGTCAAGACTTTGGTGCATGGAACTTAGCATAAATAAATGCCAGGTTCTAAAGTTTTGTGGTGGTTCCACAGACATCAATATCCCCTTGACAATATTAGATAAAAATGGCAGTCAAATTCCTATTAAAGATATATCCGTTGAAAGAACATTGGGTGTTCTGATACATAATAAACTGAAATGGTCAGATCAGATTAGTGATGCCACTCTCAAAGCTAATTCTATACTTGGGATACTCAAAAGAACTTTTAAAAAATCGAATCCAACTATGTTCGTGAAGCTCTATACAGCATATGTAAGACTGATGTTGGAGTACTGTGCACCAATTTGGTGCTCTTTTCTTCTAAAGGACATTAAAAAGTTAAAGTCGGTCCAACGAAGAGCTACCAAACTCGTTCCACAATTTCGCAGCTTGAATTACAAGAAAAGGTTAGCAAATCTTGGTCTCAGCTCATTAGATGAACATCGAACAAGAGGAGATGTAATTCAATTTTTGAAAATTTATAAAAAATTAAATATTGTTAACTGGCAGCAGCAGATTAACAGAGCAAGTGCACGCCTATGGGATGGTCCTGCAGTTCATCTTCGTGGTGCCAAGCATAAAATTGATCGAGAATTATCGAAAAACTCTCAAAGACATAACTTCTTTAGAAACCGAGTGGTGTCATCACGGAACGCTTTGCCTGCTTCGGTAGTTGCTGCAAATTCAGTTGATCGTTTCAAAAACAATTATGACAAATGGAATCGTTCAATCTCACGTCGGTCTACTATAGTCGGGTCTCGTTAGACACTCGGCTCATAGAAGTCAAACTTCTATTGTAGAAATACTATAATAATAATAATAATAATAATATATATATGTAAATATATATATATATATATATATATATATATATATATATATATATATATATATATATATATATATATATATATATATATATATATATATATATATATATATATATATATATATATATATATATATTCGGCCGGATTATTATAAAAATTAATTTTTTTATAATATATATATATAATATATATATATATTCGGCCGGATTATTATAAAAATTAATTTTTTTTAGAATTTGTGAAAAGCGGCGTGATATAGTGTTGTTTAATATTTACAAAAAAAATATTTCTAAAGAATTGAATATACTTTGCATTTTTAAGTTTTATGGTTTTATATGCTAAGTATATTTACTTTAGTACATGCATTAACTGAAACATGCATTTAACCCTAATACTAGATATAATCCAAAGGTTATGAAATTGAACCAAACCTATACCTACCTAACTAAATTAACCCTAATGATATGATTAACTCCAACGCTATTATAACTTTATATTATTATATTATTATTATTATTATATTATTCTATTTTTATATGATTGTTTAATAATTTCTGCTTTTATCAACTGATTTCAGAATTTATCCGTCTCATCTTGTATTTTTAGAAATTAACTGAAATTCTGATATGTTATAAAATTGTAAAACAATAATGATTTTAAGATCTAAAGCTTCAAAGAGTCGTCATATACTTTTTGGAGAAGGTCGTGAATTACCCAATTTTTGCTTGCCAACCCACAAGCAAGTAGGCAAAGCATACTTGTCTGAGAAGAATTATGAAACTGAACCACTACGGTCTGTTTGAAAGAGACTAGCAGAGAAACTTTATAAATATATATATATATATATATATATATATATATATATATATATATATATATATATATATATATATACATATGTATATATATATACATGTATATATATATATATATATTATATATATATATATATATATATATATATATATATATATATATATATATTTATATATACTAGCTGTAAGCAACCTGTAATACGGGTTAATAGTATATAAATCATTATTAACAATTTGATAATTATTTACTTACTCTAATAAATTATTAATTTACACAGTAAGCATTCCGTAATACGGGTTAGTAGTAAATAAGTTATTACTGTCAATTTAATCTTTATTTACTTTCTCTAATGAAATATAAATTTATTTATACATTTTTTTTAGTTGAGCTCACTTTTATTTTTCTTGGCTTCTTAGTTTAAGAGAACTCTTAGCTTCATTAAAGATAAAGTTAACCACAAAATGACTTAACTTATGTGCACAGAAAATCGATGTCAAATTTTCAAATTCCGTAGAATTGTTTTGGTAAATATTGGGAATATATTCTACTCTTAATTTTGCTTTAAGCTGAGTCGTTTCTTTATTTTTTAAACTTTTCATTTAACTGAGTAAAGAGCTTCAAAATATGTCACTATCGCACCTAAACCTTTTAAATGTTATTAATATATTTTTTAAAACATCTAAAATATTACACCCAAACTTGCAGGCATAGAAGTTGGATATCCGGAAAAACTATAAGTTGAAAAATATATCGCAATTCCGAAAAAGGCTTACCCTGCATACGGATCCTGTATGTTATGATAAAGATTATTATTTAAACCAACCTTTTTTTTAATTAGTAATCCAGCAGTAACTTGATTATAAAAAAACAAAGGAATATATGGATTTACTATAATAGCTAACGTGTATCAACATAATTATTTCATTTTGCCTTAACTTGGCGTTAGATTATTAGTTTTATTTCATTAATTTTTGTATATATCAGGTTAATAATAAAAGCAATTAGATTTTACTCAATATTTTTTAAGTAATTTTCATATTTATTTATATATAGTAAATTTTATATTTTAAGTAATATTTAATAAAATTGATAAAATCATAAAAGACAGTTAAAAAATATATTTAAACCTTTGTTCACTTTTTGAAAATCCGTAAAAAAGCAAGTATTAAGTTAACTTATCTTTAAAAGAAATTTATTTACATGATATATAGTTAAATATGTAACAAAAATATTTTAAAACAGAAGCATATATAAAACACATTTTTCTTAAAAAAAACAAAGTTGAAGCCACCATTTACAGCACCGAGGAGCCAAGCATAGCCTATTGTAAAGAAAACCATATCAAATAATTTAAAATATTTATTACCGATAGGGACGACAATTAAACATATTTAAAAAGCTACGTGATTCCATATTAGTAGAATTGTTATAGAAAAGTATATTAAAAAGTATATTAAATAGAAAACAGATTTTTAAAAACTACCTAATTTTGTAAGCATTTTGCCAATGATGTTCAATTTTGAAACCAATATCTTTAATGAAAAGCCGACTTGTTTAACTAATATCATTCAAAGAATAAAATTATTAACACTTAATAAACAAAAGATAAACAAAAAAAAAAAAAAATGAATGAGATATAAACAATCGTACTATAGTATTATATAAATAAGTAGATATATATGAAAAAAAAAAACAACAACTGGAAAACAGTATACCTGTTTTGGTAACCTATTGTGATACTGCAGCAGTTGCTGTAGGGATGCAGCTGTTCTTTTTGGTGTTGTTCAAAAACGTAATTTTTATGTTGGCTTTTAGTAAACTTTAGTTTAATTTAAAAGACATCACAACGGATTTAAAATATTCATAATAAAAAGAGCAAAACATAAAATGCTTTAAGTAGCCAAACTATAAACATAAAAGATTAAGAATGGAATCGAGATAAATAAATTGTATTTATATAGCTAAATATATTGCCTTGGGTTTTGGTAAATTTTAAAAGCAGTACCAAATAATTGTTTTTAACAAAAGAATGCAGCATCATTATATTAAGATAATTGGATAATGAATCAATTCAACTTTCGACTTTAGAATTTAGGGATGGGTATTTAAGAGGGCTTGAAATTTGAAGTCAGGTTTAATTGGTGAGAAAAAAATCAAAATTTCATTAAAAAAGATCAAAACAAATTAAATATACAACGTAATGTATATGTTTAAAAAAAAATTACAAAATTAAAAAAAAAAACAGAAACAAAAAATTACAAAATTAAAAAAAAAAAAAACCAAAGAAAAAGCAGCAACTAAAAAGTCATAAATATCTCTACTGATAGAAGACATTTACAACCTTTTGGTTGCTGTTTTTTCTTCGGTGTCTCCCAACACCCCGGTATGGATGAGCCCTCCATTTAAAGGAGGGCTCATCCATACCGCCATTACGTTTCCATTTAATGAAGGACCTCTCTGAGAGAGGTCCCGGGTGTTGGGAACGATAATTTTGATATTGTTCAAATGATAAGGAATCTAAAGTTACAAATAGAAGAGTATAATTAAAATTATACATTTGCAATTATTAAAAAAAAAAAAATTAGCATAACCTCACCATTTTCATTCGAAACAGAAGATGCTGAAAAAAAAAAAAAAAAAAAAGCAAATTAATAAGGGTTAAACATGCAATATTTTGTATTTAAATAAATATATAGGGCAATAATGCAACCAGCTCAATAGTGTCATATTTATTAATTAATTTTTTTACCTATTGCATATATTTCTCCATACAAAATATATAAAATATAAAACACAATCCTACCAGCTATACTTCCACCTGACACTAAAGACAAATATATACTTAAATAAATATATAATAATCGATAAAATAATGTTAACATATAAATATAAAAAGTTATAATATATCTTAAAAATATTTAAAGTTACAAATAGAAGAGTATAATAAAAATTATACATTTGCAATTATTAAAAAAAAAAAAAATTAGCATAACCTCACCATTTTCATTCGAAACAGAAGATGCTGAAAAAAAAAAAACAAAAAAAAAAGAGCAAATTAATAAGGGTTAAACATACAATATTTTGTATTTAAATAAATATATAGGGCAATAATGCAACCAGTTCAAAAGTGTTATATTTATTAATTAATTTTTTCACCTATTGCATATATTTCTCCATACAAAATATATAAAATATAAAACACAATCCTACCAGCTATACTTCCACCTGACACTAAAGACAAATATATACTTAAATAAATATATAATAATCGATAAAAAAATGTTAACATATAAATATATACATATCTAAATAATTGTTTTACCCATCCCCCTCATTTCATCCATAAAGTTGTCTAAAGTAAGAAAAAAATAACTAAAGCTAAAAACAAAATTATAAACTAAACCAAAACTATAAACTAAAGTAAACTTTAAATCTTCTAAATATTAATGCTTTATTTATTAAACTAAACTAATCATAATTTATACGTAGTTTTTGTTCCAACTCCCCTAAAAAAAAGTTTTAAAAAAAAAAGCTAAAGAACTTGATTTTTTAAAATTCCAGTGGCAGTACAAATAAACAAATTCCTATTAACAAATATCTAATAGCAAAAACACTGACTTATTTCTTTCTTTACTTCTGTATCTAAACAATAAAAGCACTTTAATGTTTAGACGTTAAAATATCGATAAAATAAATATTAAATGCTACATTCAACTAATGTAATTTAATTTAATAATACCTTTATTAGATCTCTCTTGATTAACTAAAGAATTTAAATTTTAAATAAACTCTAACTAAATTTTAACAAACAACCAAAATAAATCTTCACTTTAATGGTACGTTATTAAGTTGATTAATAGATCAAACAATTTAATCTACTCTAATAATCTACTACCTTATTAATAAACTTTAATTTTTTTTCTACGACTCAGTGTAACTATAATATAGATATTTTTAAAGTAAAAAAGAATTTAATATTATAATATATATGATTTTAAAAACCTGAAATTTTAAATCTACCTCGAAGAAAACAGATATATATTGAAAAGTATTTTTATTTCTTTTTAAAAATTTAAAAATGCTTTATAACTTACTTGTTTCGATATTATCACCAACGTCTAAATAGAAAAACAAACAAACATTCAAGTCGACTCATTCTTAAACCTTATAATATATATGATTTAAAAAACCTGAAATTTTAAATCTACCTCGAAGAAAACAGATATATAATAAAAAGTATTTTTATTTCTTTTTAAAAATTTAAAAATGCTTTATAACTTACTTGTTTCATATTATTACCAACGTCTAAATAGAAAAACAAAGATATATGAGTTATATATAAGATTTTAAAATATATATGACTTTAAAAAACTGAAACTTTAAATCTACCTCAAAGAAAACAGATATATATTGAAAAGTATTTTTATTTCTTTTTAAAAATTTAAAAACGCTTTTTAACTTACTTGCTTCAATATTGTCATCATCTAAATAGAAAAACAAACAAACAAACATTTAAGTCGACTTATTCTTAAATCTAGTTTAATTTCTTCAATAATAAAAAAAATTTAATCTTTGAGGATTAAATTCATTTACAAAAATCCGTTTAAACCATTTTAACATTGTAAAGTTAATTTAAAGTTTTAAAAAACTGAAACTTTAATTCTACCTCAAAGAAAACAGATATATATTGAAAAGTATTTTTATTTCTTTTTAAAAATTTAAAAAGGCTTCTAAACTTACTCCCTCCAATATAATTATATAATATATAGTATATATGATAAATAAACCTCCACAATATCCTTGGTTTAACAACTCGATTATGATTTATAACAAC